GCTGGCTGAGGGATTCTGGGAGTTGAAGTCCACAAGTCTTCAAGTGGCCAAGTTTGGAGACCTCTGGACTAAACTTCCTCTGAGACAACCAGAATTAATCAAAAATCTCTGGTTACAGTTAGTCCTCAACTAATTGAGCCTCGCTAACTGGGAGAGTTGTTAAAATGAGTTTTGCCACCTTTTTTATCCCCTTTCTCGCCGCAGTTCTTAACTCAATCACGGCAGTGTATTAAGTTAGCGATAAGGTCAGTAAGTGAATCCGGCTTCCCCATTGACCTGGCTGGTCAGAAGGCTGCAACATGGGATTTACGTGACCTCGGGACACAGCGCCGGTCGTTAAGTGTGAACCAGTTGCCAAGGATCTGATTTTTGATCTTCAACGGCCGTTAAGTGTGACAAACTTTGTCTCATAAGCCGTTTTTCCCCACGGGCCGTTGCAAACTGCGAATGTTCACTAAAGGAATGGTTAAAATTTGAGGACTCCCTGTGTTAGGGGTGGGGGTTTAACTGGGCTTAAGGAAAGGAAAGGGCACAGATTTGCAAGATAATGGCCAGATATCCCAAATCTCCAGTCCAAAAATAACGGCAGAAACAGCTATTCCATCCTTCCTCCTCCCCAGAAAGATTACGAGGCAGAGTGAAGCCATCAGCCCAGCAGGGCAATAAGATAGTCGAGAGTATTGTCTCCAATTTTCTTGAAGAGGGTAAGCTTGAGGTTTTACAACTAACCCAATATATCTGCTGAAAGGAGGGTGATTCAACCGGATCACAAGGTTACGTGGGTTTAAGGGGATCACAACAAAAGCTATCAGCGAAATATAGCTCCTCTAGTCCTCGGCGTTCCGTCTTAGGCCCAGGACTCTTCAATATCTTCATTTACAACTTAGGTGAGGAAATAGAAGGAGAACTTGCCAAATTTGCAGATGATACTAAGCTGGCAGGAATAGCTAACATCCAAGAAGATAGGCTCAAGATCCAGATGGATCTTGACAGACTAGAACACGGGGCCGTATCTCACAAAATGAAATTCAATGTGGAGAAAAGTCAAGTCCTACACTTAGGCAAGAAAAACCCAAAGGAGACATATAGACTGGGTGAAACCAGGCTCAATAGCAGGAACTGGGAGAGGGATCTTGGAGTCTTGGTGGAAAACCAGCTAAATAGGAGCCAGCCGTGTGCAGCAGCAGCCAAAACAGCCAACGCAATCCAAAGTTGCATCCACAGAGGGATACAACCCACATCAAGGGAGGTACTAATAGCAATAGCACTTAGACTTTATAGTACTTTGCAGCTCTCACTCAGCAGTTTATAGAGTCAGCCTCTTTGCCTCCAACAATCTAGGTCCTCATTTGACCCACCTCGGAAAGAGGGAAGGCTGAGTCAACCTTGAGCCTGCTGGGATTCGAACTGCCAAACTGCAGGCAGCTGGCTGCAGCAGAAGTAGCTTGCAGTACTGCACTCTAACCACTGCGCCACAGAGGCTCCTAATACTACCCTGTAAAGCCTTAGTAAGGCCACACCTAGAGTCCTGCGTCCAGTTTTGGTCACCACACTATAAAAAAGATGTTGAGACTCTAGAAAAAGTGCAGAGAAGAGCAACCAGGATGATTTAGGGGACTGGAGACCAAAACATAATGAAGAACGGTTGCAGGAACTGGGCTTGGCTAGTCTAGGGAAGAGAAGGACCAGGGGAGACAGGAGAGCATCTTCTAATATTTGAGGGGCTGCCCCAGAGAGAAGAAAGGGGGTCAAGCTATTTTCCAAGGCACCAGACAAGGAATAATGGATGGAAACTGAACCAGGAGAGATTCAACCTGGAAATAAGGAGAAACTTTCTGACAACTAGAACAATCAACCCGTGGAACAGAAGTTGTGGGAGCTTCATCCCTGAAGGCTTTCAAGAAGAGTCTGGACTGCCATCCGTGAGATAGGGTGTAGGGTCTCCCGCTTGAGCGGGGGGTTGGACTAGATGACCTCCAAGGTCCCTTCCAACTCTGATTATCTGTTATCTGATGTACAACGGTTCGTCCAGCGACCGTCTGAAGTTCCAATGGCACTAAAAAGACAGGAACTAAGGACCGTTTTTCACGCTTACGACCCTTGCACTATTCCCCGCGGTCACGGGATGAAAATTCAGGCGCTCGGCGAGTGACTTGTACTGACGGCCTTGGCTCGGTCCCCTTTTGACAAGCAAATTCACTGAACAACCCTTTATCAGTGACGAAAGATTCACTGAAGAATGGCGGCAAGGAAAGGTCGTAAAAGAGGGCAAAACTCTCTGTCACAAATGCCTGGCTTCTCAAGAGAAATCTTGGGGTTCTGTTGTGGTTGTTAGGTCAAGGACTACTGGTGCAGGTGGTCCTCAGCTTACAACAGTTCATTTAGTGACCGCTCCAAGTTACGATGCCACTGAAAAATAAAACAGGACTTAGGAGCGCTTTTCACGCTTACGACCGCTGCAGCCTCCCCTCCTGGTCACAGGATCAAAATTCAGATGCTTGGCAACTGACTCGCACTTACGACCTTTGCTTTGTCCCAGGGTGGACAAGGGGGGGGAAAGCCCAGATTCACTTTAACAACCAGGTTCCTAGTGTCAACCAAGGCCTTGGCTTAGTTATTGGAGACCTCCAAAGTTCTTCCGGACCTTCTTTTTTTTTGGGTGGGGTGGGGGAAGAGAGGGGGAGCTTTGGGGGGGTCTCAAAGATGCCAACCTTGCAAAGCCGAATGTCCAATCATAAAATATTTCTATGATCTTTTTAGAGTTGCCAACAGAAAGGGAGCACCGCGGCAGCTTGCAAAACCGAAAGCGCATTCCACAAATGTTTTCAAAGATTGTAACCAGGTGACTGAAGTTTCTGCTGCACAAATATCTAACTGGAGAGCCTGATTGATGACTCTGGGCTATGGAGGTGTCCCATTGGAGGATATGAATTAGGATACACCCAGGAGGTACGGGGGGGAAAACCAGGGTCAAGGGTGACAATGATTGATGTGCCTCAGAGTCGGCTACACCCAGGCAGTGCCAGACATGTTTACTCCCAATAAATCCTTTTGAAGTTTTGGAAGTTTGGCTCGAGACTCATGATTTAATTGGGGGCAACTGCCGGAATCCTGACACCTAGCTTATCAACAGCAGTGATTCCCTTAGCAAGGAAAGGTCATAAAACAGGGACAAAACTCCCTTAACCAATTATTATTTTTCATCCGTATTAAAATTTTCCATCCGCAGAAATCCCGGGGCTCCCTTGTAGGTTGTTAAGTCGAGGACCACCGACGTTAAACACACACACACACACGTTTTTCAGTATCTTTGTTTCTTTCCCAAAGGGGCCGAACCGGGGCCCGTTTGCCGCTTTTTTGGGGGGGGGGTTAAGAAGCCAAAAAAAATTGCCTACTGTGCGAAAGTCCTGCTCAAATTTATACGCTCCGCCTCCAGTGGCACACAAGGTGGTGTGGAGGCTCGAGAAATGTTTCTCGCTGCCCATCTGGATAAAAGCGGGCATGTCGTGCGTGGGGAAGCGAATAAAGTGCAGGTTGCCTTTGCGTCCACACAGCGTGAGGTCTCTGAGCTCCAAGTGGACGTCGCGAAGGCCGGTGGAGCCGTAGGCCGTGTTGGAGGTCAGGTATTTGCGGATGCTTTTCAGGCTCTCCACTTCCTCCTCCTCCTCCTCCGTGGTGATGTCTTTGGGCTCGAAATAAACCAGCTTCACCAAAGTCCCGCCAATGTCCAAGCCGAACCAAGGGAAAGCTAAAGAAGGAAAGGGAGGGAAATAAAATACATGGTGTCAGGATTCCGGCAGTGACCCCCATTTAAATCATGAGTCTCGAGCCAAACTTCCAAAACTTAAAAAGGATTTATGGAGAGTTAAAAGGTCCGGCGTTGCCTGGGTGCAGCCGACTCTGAGGCACATCATTCATTGTCACCTCAGCCTTAACCCTGGTTTCCCCCCCGCCCCCCCCCCGGATGTATCATAATTTATTCTCCAATGGGACACATCCATTGCTCAGAGTCATCAATCAGGCTCTCCAGTTAGAATTTTGCAAGACAGAAACTTCCATCACCTAGTTACTATCTTTGAAAACATTTATGGAATGTGCTTTCGGTTTGCAAGTTGCCGCACTGCTCTTTCAAACCTCTCCCCCCCCCCCCTTCCTCTTTCCGTTGGCAACTCTAAAAAGACCATAGAAATATTTTTATGTTAAGTGGACCTGGCTTCCCCATGGACTATGCTCGTCAGGAGGTTGCAAAAGGGGATCACGTGACCCCAAAACACTGTCACCATCATAATATGAGTCAGTTGCCAAAGGCCTGAATTGTGATCAGATAGAAATGCTTATAAATTTGATAGAGATAAGAGATAGATGATAGATAGATAAGATAGATAGATGATTGATAGATGATAGATAAGATAGATGATAGATGATAGATAAGATAGATAGATAGATAGATGATAGATAGGTAAGATAGATGATGATATATAACAGAGATAAATAGATATAGATGATAGATAGATGATAGATAGTTAAGATAGATAGATAGATAGATAGATAGATAGATAGATAGATAGATAGATAAGATAGATAGATGATAGATAGATAAGATAGATGATAGATAGATAAGATAGATAAGATAGATAAATGATTGATAGATAGATGATAGATAAGATAGATGATAGACAGATGATAGGTAAGTAGATAATAGATGACAGATAGCTAGGTAGATAGATATGACAAGTAGATAGACAGCCAGATGATAGGTAGGTAGGTGGGTAGATAATAGATAGATAGATAGATAGATAGATAGATAGATAGATAGATAATGACAGGCAGATAGATAGGTAGACACAAACAAGACAGACATGATAGGTAGGTAGGTAGGTAGATGATGGATGGATGGATAGCTATAACAGGTAGATAGGTAGATAAGTAGACAGACAGATGATAGACAGGTAAGTAGATAGGTAGGTGATAGAGAATGATAGGTAGGTAGGTAGGTAGGTAGATAAATGACAAAAAGACAGATGATAGGTAGGTAAGTAGATAGATGATAAGATAGAATGGATTGATAAATACAGGGAAAGACATAGATGATGGATGGATGGAAGATGGATACATGATGAATACATAGAAATGGATGGATGGATGGAGATGGAGAGAAAGAGTGAGAGATACTCCCAATTAATACTCCATGAACCGGAAAAAAAAAGTCTAAAAACAAGTATACTAGCCAGGCCAAGAAAATATATCTGGGCAAATCTTGTTTACACACATATCCATGGCTAGCCTATATATACTCCCTTCTGGGATCAATATTGCACTTTGAAAAAAACAAAAACAAAAAAAAAGCAAAAAAGGCCCAAACACTCATCAGCTAAAGAAAATAAAGGTACAAAATAAAAAGGAGGAACTCTTACTCTGGCATCCAACTCATCGGAGTCGGGATGGGAAGAGAGCGAGTCTACCTGGCAGGGTTGTTGTGAGTTCGAATAACCCTATCACCCCACCAAGACTTCTGTACCCTGAGGCTCTGCTCCTGAGGCTGCAAAAGGCCGGGGGGAATCCCCTTAAAGGCGCCCTGAATTTTTCCATTGAACCCCATTACTGAGCTGCAGCTTTAAAGAAAAAAAAAAAAAAGCAAGACGGCTCCGCCCCTTCCCTTTGGGCCCCGCCCACTCGAGCGCTCCCGCCCGCGCCCTCTAGCGGCCACTCACGGGGGCGGCTCTTGCGGTGGGAATCGAGGCGCGGCCGGGGGGCGGGGCCAACGCGCTCTTTCTCGCGGCTCGCCGTGGCCTCCGCCCTGCTCGGCCCGCCTCCGCGCCGACGGCCGCCTGAGGCCGATATCCGCCGCCGCCGTTCCTCCGAGGATCCTCCGGCTTCGCTTCCCGTCTCCATGGCGGGCGGCGGCGGGGGCGGCGGCGGCTCCTCGTCAGCTTGCCACTTGCCACTTCCATTCTGCTGCGGCTCCATACGCCGCGGCGACAGCAGCCAAAGCGGGCACTGCGCCTGCGCCGAAAGTCTTTTCCTCGCCTTTGCCTTTCCTCCCTCAGAGTACGGGGCCTTCCAAAAAAAAAAAAAAGTCCAATCGGAAGCATTCGGCTTTTGCGGCGACAGATCATCCAGCCAATAAGAATGAAGCGAAGCGTGCGGGGCTGGGATGAAAGGGGAAGCCTTCCAATGAGCATCCGTCTGCCTTGGATGAGCAACAAAAGGCCAAACCAAAAAAAAAAAATGCCTCGCGCGCAAAAATGTGGTACTGAGGGTCAGGCCCGAAGGGGCGGGACGAATAACGGAATCGCCGTAGCCAACCTGCTGTTCCGCAGGAGAGATGGACAGTCGGCCTGCCCAATGAAAAAGAAAGGAATGGTGCTAGGGGCTGGACTTAAGGAGAAGATGGCCAGGCCCGGGTCTCCATGACTACCTAGCAGGGAGGGAATTTGCTGTAAGAAATAAATGCAAGCATATTAATCGATGTGCAAGTATAAGCTCCTCTATGTGTGTGCCATTTAGTTTGGCCTTCTTTATATTTAATACGAATCCCATCTTTTTCATTCTGCTCCTAGATTTTTATTACTAGACTTGGCAGATCCTTTGCATTTTAACCTGTCAAAATATATGGTGATAACTTTGTCATTTTTTTCTGTGAGCATACTGGACCTCATTAAAAATGAAATCTTCTTGCCTGCTCTCAAGAGAAAGTGTATATTTACATAAACACATACATAACACACACATGCACATGCTATACACATACATATTATACAGTACCTACACCATATATAGTGTATATATGTGTATGAATATACCCACACACATATACACATACATGTATACACATACATAAGTGTATATCTATCCAAACACATACATACCCACATGACACATACATATGCTATATACATACTTACACCATATATATGTATATGTAGATATATGTATATGTATTGTTTTGCCCCATGGAAAAGAAAACCTAAACAATTTCCTAACACACCTAAACAGCACACACCCCAAAATCAAATTCACCATGGAAACGGAAACAAACAAACAACTACCATTCCTATATGTACTAATCTACAAAAAAAACAGATGGCACACTAGGACACACCATATACCAGAAGAAAACACACACCAACCACTACCTCAAGGCCCAATCCCACCACCACCCAGCACAGATAAACTCCATGGCCAAAACACTAATCGCCAGAACCAAACGCCTGGCAGACAAGACACACATAAAGACTGAACTATGCACCCTGACTAAAGTACTGACAGCCAACAGCTTCCACAAAAGCAAAATCACCGGCTTGATCCACAAAAACACACTGAGACAGAATGGAGACCTGGAAGATGAACTATGTGCTATGTACTATGGAACAGCTGTCCTGCCCTACATAAGAGGTACTACAGACAAAATCAGTAAGATACTACACAGGCATCATATCAAGACTGCCTTCAAAACAGACAGAAAAATAGCAGCCATCCTAAGAAACCCGAAAGATAAAATTGACCTGGAAAACCAAGGCATATATGAAGTCCCCTGTGCATCATGCCCTGACACATACATCGGACAGACCAATAGAAGAATAAGTACCCGCCTAGATAAACACAAAAATGCAGTAAAAAAGCTGGAACACACTTCCTCATTAGTCCAACACATGAAAGCCACAGGTCATGGCATCAACTTCAATGGCACCAAAACCCTAGCCACTATAGAAAACCACAGCCACAGAATTATCAGAGAAGCCATAGAGATTGAAAAAAGACCTGAAAGCATGAATAGAAGAGATGATTCCACCAGACTGTCAATCATCTGGAAGCCTGCACTCACAAACAAAAAAATCTGCACACCACAAGCCAGGCACCTGGGCACAAACAGACTCCCCCGATAGCTCCAGCTCAAACACATCCCAACCAGGCACCCAGATGAAACCTACCTTCCTAACAAATAATAGCCGTCCATTTACTCGGAGCCAAACTGCACTAAAAGCCTCCAATGCAGGAAACACAATGTTGCCAGCCAATCAATACCCAAAAAAAGCCACAAAACAGACAGAAGATATTAGAAACACCAATCAAGCAGAACACAGCAAACTCCAAGACCAATAAACACAGACCAAGACTCCCAACCAATCAGGATGAAGCAAAAACCATTCTGGCACAGCAATAGGCTGCCCCAAATTTAAAACTGAAACAATTGTAAAAGTCTGACTCACAGACGAACACAGTACAGAAGCCTGATGATGGCAGATAAGATTCTGCCGAAACGTTGCTACAACTTTAAAAGCACAACTATAATGACGTGGGAAAATACCCGAGCAAAGCTGAATACCATACATATATGTACAAATATACACATATATACACATACATGTACATACACAGATAAGTGTACACATGTGTATATCTACCCAAACACATACATACCCATCTAAGACACATACATGTGTGTGTATATGTGTGTATGTATATAATATACATGTATATTGTATGTATTATATGGTACACATGTGCATGCATACATAGCATACATATACATATACATACATATACATACACATATCGTCAGCATTACTGATATTTCTTCCTGAAGTTTTAAAATTATGTTCATCATCTTCTAATCCAGCTCCCATATAAATTGAATAAATATGGGGAAAGTATACAGACAGGCCTCACTGAGCCACTGGCTCAGATAGCGACAGTTTGCAGATGGTGATGAAAAATTTGACTTTTGCAACCAATCTTGCCCCGATATCCGCAAAGTAAAGGAAACCCGGTCCTATTTTAAGCATACTTGCAGTTTCGCTTAGCGACTGCTTCACTTAACAATCAAATTGCAGTGCATGTGGGTTGCCAAGCTCCCAGATTTTGATCGCATGACCTTCTAGACATGCTGTGATGTTCATAAGTGCAAGGACTGTAAAACATTTTTTGCAGTGCCGCTGTTAACTTCGACCGGTTGCTAAATGAATGGTTAGAAGCTGAGGATGCCTCTAGGTAAGGAAAGATTTTCACATGTCAAGTATGATTGTTTAATCACCTAGGTGCATTACCTTACCTGTTAATTACCTTACCTGTTTTCCTTAATTGCACCAGTATAGTGACCCAACTAAAAATCTGGCAAGATACAGGTAGTCCCCAGCTTACGACCACAATTGAGCCCAAAATTTATGTTGCTAAGTGAAAACTTTGTTTAGTGAATTTTGCCCCATTTTATGACTTTTCTTGCCACATTTGATAAGTGACCCTTTGCAGTTGATAAATTAGTCACCCGGTCGTTAAGTGAATCTGGCTTCCCCATTGACTTTGCATGTCAGGTCGCAAAAGGGGATTACGTGATGGGACACTGCATCCATCATAAAGGTGAGTCAGTTGTGAACCATCCAGATATAAATCACATGACCGTGGCGGTTGCAATGGTCGTAAGTGTGAAATGTGGTCATAAGTCATTTTTTTTCAGTGCCATTGTAACTTCGGTCGCTAAGTTAACTTGTTCTGACCCAAACCTGGTTCCAAGGAAGCAAACACGAGACAAAGTTAACAGCACAACCTTTTAATGTTTCTTTACGAATTCCGTTCCCTCCCTGTTAAAAGGCTGTTTCAAACTAATGGTCTCTGATAAGAATGAGCCTTGCCAAGGTGGTGCATGGCTGCCAAGAACACTAGATTAAATTGCCAAGAAATATTTCAAACCCAGAGAGTCTCCAAACACCAAGATATTCCGAACGTCCACCAGGCTTGAGTGCAAAAACTTCTTTGCTTCCTGCAAAGAACTCCGGTTTCTCAGCTGGCTTTTATCCCTTAATGGAGGGGCCATCACCTTGCAGCCTTACTTTCCTGCGAGCAGGCCTGCGCCTGGGCACAGGCTCCTCGGGGGCCTCTTCCTCATTGCTGCCAGCCTCCACAATCTCCGAAGGCAGCACTCCACTCCCTGATGGTCCTGGCCCCATCCCTGCATCCCACGCAGGCCCCTCATCCAAGTCCTCGCTCTCCGAGACCTCAGCCGTCCACACCTGCTGCCGGTGAACCACAACACTTAGCAACAGAAATTTTGGGCTCAGTTGTGGTCGTAAGTCGAGGAGTACGCATATCAGCTGTTCATTCATTCACCCCTCCTAATTTTAATGAATTATATTCCTTTCCCCTAATGACAATTTGACCTGGAAATGTAGGAAATGTTTCCCCTTTATTTCTGTCCACATTAAGAAAGCCACTAATTTTTCTTTTTTAATTATTTAATAATATTTGTGTATTTGGGGAGTATGTGTGGATTTTTATTTTATTTTTGTTTAGAAAGTTTTGTTTCTTACAAGCCTTCCTTAATCTTGGAAATTGCAGCGGATAACTTACACAACAAACTCCATCTCTGATTTTCTACAACTGGATTGCAGTTGAAAAACGTATTTAGAATCAATTAAATAGCCTTTTTTCAATTTAAGGAAACATGCCCTTTATGTAGAATACTCACGGGGCTGCAGCATGAACATAATTGCTTTCTATGCATATCCCCCATTGTGTACCTGCTTACTCTCTTACAATCCCATTGGATCCAAACTTTGTCCGGACTGTTATATGGGGTCTCCAACTTGAGCAGGGGTTGAACTAGACTGCCTCTCCAGACTGTTAGAATTTTAGAGAATAATGAATATATAAAAATGTATTTCTTTTTATTATTATTATATCTATAAAATGTTTCTAGATAGATTTGGGAGGATTATATGAATTGTTATAAAAGACGCTAAGTTAATTATAGTTATCTCGCAAAGTATGAATGAACAAAATTATAGTCAAATGATTGATTAATAATGATACTAGGGTATTCAATTTTTGATTGATAATATGAGTTATTATGCAATGTAACTGTAATTGAGACTATGAAATGGATGCACAAAAAATTTGTAAACCAACCGACACACTGCTTGTACATTTATGGAAGAAAGTTGGATGTTTTTATGTTTTGTTTGTTTTTGTTTGTCTTTAAAAACCAATAAAACTTGTTTTTTTTTTTTAAAAAAAATCATCCATACAGTCCATCTGCTGTAGAAACGTGGAGAAAAGCTTGGAAACGCTTGGACTATCAATATAGTTATGGATCCAAATCTAGATTCTTTCCAGCTCAGTTCATACAACACGCTGTCATAAGAAAGATTGTTTTGACTGGCATAATGGCCATAGACGGTGATGGGATTCAGCCGGTTCACAGCGGTTCAGCAGAACCGATATTTAATATTTTTTTTTGTTGAGTTTGACGAACCTGTTACGATAAATCTGTTTTCTGGAATATGTCTGGTTTTCATTCAACTTCCTTCCAGGTAGGGAAACACCCCCACACACAAAGTGCAAGGGAGGAGCGATAGAAACCAAACGGGGACGCGGCACTTTCAATCACATCATCAGGTGAAAACTGTCTTACTTGACAGCAGGCGGCAGGGCCGGGCCTGTTCATAAGGCAGCAAAGCTCAGGGTCAAAGTGCCAGCCGAGGGCCAGAAGGTTGGGGAGGGTGCTGAAGCCAGAGGGTGTCCTGCCTGCAATGCCTATACCAGCTTCCCCCTTTCTGGTCAGAGCTGGAATGCCACCCTGTTTAAGTGCCGGTAGATACCAGCCTTCCCTCTGGTGGGCCTGGGCAGCTGCAGGACAGAAACTGGTCCGTTTCAGCACCTGGCACCCACACGCGCTCAATTCCCCCCCAAAAAAAGATCTCACAAAGTTTGAATTGATTGAACTTTTTTTTTTTAGGCTCACCAACTTTTGTTTCCCTGCGCACGACAGCGAAAAATGCAACAGAGCTGGAAATCGGGTTAGCAAAGAAATGCTTGGGGGAAATGAGGGCATCTGGGCAGTGGTGGGTGGGCCAAGGACCCCAGCCTGGCGCTGGAGAAACAGGGAATGGAACAGCCGGCGCAAGAGGAGGAGAAGGAGGAGCAGGGAGAAGAAAGGGAAAGCAGCCTCCTCGGAACCAATTGTTAAATTATTTGAATCCCACCCACTGGCCATAGATAACTCACCACTGTAGTTTATGAGTTATGATTTGGGGTGGATATGCTGGGTAAAATTATTGCATTGTGAATTGGTAAATGAGTTGAAACAAGTATGATTGTTCCATGAATTCATGAATAAGGCGGCTTATTTTACTTCTCATACCGAACAAACATCCGTGATTTTTTTAAGTTTCCTACTGAAATGGGAACAATACTTGTTGCTGAGATTTCAAGGAACAAGTCACAGTGAGTTTGTTGATGGGGGAGAAAAAATGTGGTTTGAAAAAAATATACAAGTGGAATACTTCTTTGGGGATCCATCAAAATCTCACAGAAAATTAAGAATGAAAGTACACGATGAATGCCTGTTTCTAAATCAATACTTTGGGTGAATTTAAGTGACAATAGTCAAAAGATGGGGTTTATGGCTTGTGGACTTCAACTCCCAGAATTTCTGAGCCATAGTTCCCCACCTTTCGACTATAGCAAAATGAAGTCTGAGGATTCTCTACAAAATTACTATTCACGTATATATCTGTACCGTTGGAGATTCCATTGCTCCCACCCATCCAAAATTCATCAATACAACCGCTTGTTGTAACAAAATAAACAATCTGGAAATTAAACTGGGATGAATGAAATAATGACACATTTTTCAACCAATAACTTTTTTTTAATCAGCACATGAAAGACCAGTTTGGTGAGCAGGTATACTGGAAAGAATGGGAAGGAACACTAATAGGAATTCTCAGTTTTGTCAAGGGATCTACAATTTTGCCAGGGGATCTATAATTCTAGAGTTTAGCTTAGTTTTAAGCTAATAAGAATGAAGCTTTTTAAGCATATTTTCTATGCATCACTCCTCATTTATTTTTGAATGTCCTGGATAGTTTAAAACTATCCCCCCCCCCCCCCCCCGCTTCCCCTTCGTTCTTTCTTCTGGTTAATGACCGGAAAGAAAGCTATTCGATTCGGAAGTTTCGGTGCTTTAATTTTCCCAACGCTACAGAACGTTGGAAAGAAATAAATGTAAGAAAAGTAGAACTTGGGCTGACTGTCTGTCAGAAGTAGAAAGAAAACGCTACTTTAAAAAAAAAAAAAGGAACCATGATCAGTTTGAATCAACACATATACACAAGTCGTGTGAATGGACACACCCGGATGAGCTCCTGGGGAGACAGTGCATATATGGGTACACATAACACACTGAATCCGTGTTTCTTACACTTAGCAATCTGTGCCTTTCAGTCCCCAGAATTTCCTGCTTCTCGTTTTTAGGAAAACTTGCTCATTAAGCAAAGGCAAGCAACGAAGCCTTCATGTCTTCCCAAATTCTCAGCAGGGTGGAATCTGGTCACCTTGGGTACCAGGTAGTCCTCGCCTTATGACCAGGGGGGTGGGCTGCTACCGGTTCACACCGGTTCAGGTGAACCGGTTGTTAATTTTATGGCCAGTTCAGCAAACCCCACCCCTGGCTGGCCCCACCCACCCACCACACCCTGCTCCTCCCCTGCCTTGGTCTGTTTTGGATCGCAAGTAAATGCAGGGCCCATGCAGAGGCTCGGGGAGGGTGAAAAACAGGCTTCTTGGAAGTTCCAGAAGGGCCCAGAGAGCCTCCAGAGCCTGGGGAGGCCATTTACGCCCTCCTGGAAGCGCGAGGAAAACCTTTGGAACCCGGGGAGGGCGAAAAACAGGCCTCCCGAAAGTTCCGGAAGGCCGGAAACGAGCCCGTTTCTGGCCTCCAGAGCCCGGGGAGAGCGAAAATGGCCTTTCCCCCGTGGCTCATTTTTGCTCCCAGGGTGGTGCAGGAGGTGGACTAGGCCATGCCCGCTCAGCAACCAGTTAAAGAACCGATTGTTAAATTATTTGAAGCCCACCCCTGCTTATGACCGTTCGACCACAGGAACGCTGCAAGCAAACTAATCTCAATCTATCATCTTTCATTACAGTCCTTAAATCGAGGACTAGGTGTCATTTAATGGCCGGGAACAAACAACTTTCCAAAGATGACACCTTAACCTCTTCTGCAGAAGAAAAAAATAACATCCGCAAAAAACAGAATGAAGAATTTCCCGTTTCCACTGGCATCAATGGATATAATTCCAGCAAGCAGCCATCCGAGTTACAGGGTGTTCCTGTAATAATCGTAGAACAAACTTCTAATGCTTCTCCTTTCCAAGAAACAGAAAAGGAAGAACAAGGATTCCCAAACAGTTCAGTGAAGTCCACTGCTTTCCCCTAAATCCCCTAAGCGGATGTTAATTCCAGAAAAAAACCGAGCTGAAGAACCGGATGCTCGTTTCTAAGGATACAGCAACAACATATTGCGTACCCAAAGAACGTCGTATTCAGGACATAGTGAAGATGTTGCTTGCTAAATTTTTCTTTTCTAAGCCACCTCAAAGAGACCTACCCACTGAAATCAGGAAGCCGGTCACTCCTCCACGTCAGCCGGTGTATTCTTTGCGATATGACCTTTTTCTAGAAAAAGAAACTCCGCCGAGATCCTGCAATTCCCTCGCCAACTATGTGGAAGCGATCGGTCAGGATTTTGCTTTGATGTCCAGATTTTTGTTTTCCTGTAATTTCTGAGAAAAGTCCTAGATCTGATCTGCTTGGCTATTTGGAGGGGGGGGAATAGGCCACTGAACTGACCGATCTAAAATAAACCTGCATCCAAAGACGTCATTAGTGACCCAAAGGCAGACCAGAGAAAATCAGCAAGGCATGTTGTGAGGATAAGAGTTCAACGCTTGCGGGAGTATCACGCATCGGTGGCGGAAAGCGATCTAAAGAAAGCAAGTTCCCTTGTGCTTCCTTTCCGTAGAGGATCAAGCAACGGTAGGAAGAGACGGTGGCTGGGTGTGAATTTCAGTTCGGTCAGCAACCGATCGGTCACTCCGGTGCTTATTTCTTCTTATACAGCACAAAAGCAGCACTTGCCAGAACCGCCAGAGCCAATGCCACCACAACCATCCGAAAGTCACTTGAAGCGGCCGCTTCATCAGGCTCAACTTTCTTCTTTGGGAGAGGAGGGCCCGCCTGGGGGTCCTTGGCTTCGTTCAATGGTTGACCGTCAGATGTTGAATCTGGGAAAGCCCTCGGGGAACGTCGCAAAAAGGCCCCGTCCTTAGGAACCTCCATGAGATCCATACTTGGATTCTTCTCCATGAGCAGGTGGTGACTCCTGAAGGACGTGTCTTCTTCATCAGTGCCAACCTCGGGTGGAAGAGTAGCGCCAACAGCAACGCTCGCCCGTGTGATGCTCGGGATGGAATGGCCGGCTGAGCTGTTTTCACTCATCAAAATGGGGTCGCTGTCGCTCGTGCTCATACGTAATCTTTCCGATGACCCGGAATACATACTGGGGGTCTCTCCAGCATCACCTGAGCTGAGCTTGCTGGGCTCTGCGGCAAGATCTGAAGACAGAATCCCCGGTTTGGAAGGCAGATCGTTCTCACTACAGTTGCTGTGAAAGATGCGGCCGTCTCTCTTGCGGTCCCCAACAGCTGAAGACCGAGGCTCCATCCCCTAAAGGACACATGACAAAGAGGTGAAATAAACGCCCATGCTAATCATTCTCTGTGGAGATTCTCCGTCATCAGGTCATGGTTGTCCCAACGATGCTTTTTCAAAAGGCAACCGGGCAGTGGTGGTATTCAAATTTTTTTTACTACCAGTTCTGTGGGTGTGGCTTGGTGGGCATGTCAGGAGAAGGATATACTGCAAAATCCCCATTTTCTCCCCACCCCACTGATCTGATTTCTAGCTCCGTCCTATGCAGGGCAACCAAAGAAGACGCAGCCGATCAGCTGGGATTCAATGGGAGGCAGAGAATCAATGGGGTTGGCAAGGCCAGTCAGAGGTGGGATTGGCCAGTTCTCCCAACTACTCAAAATTTCTGCTCCCGGTTCTCCAGCAGTGGTCCGAACCGGCTGAATACCACCTCTGCAAACGGGGTTTGTTTTCCCTTATAAACATTTCGCTCCTCATCCAAGAAGCTTCTTTGGTTCTAACTCAGGGGGAGTCAAACTCAAGGCCTGTGGACCAAATCTGGCTCGCGATGCGGTTGGATCCGGCCTGTGGGGCTGTCCTGGAAAATGTAAAGGGCCGGCCCCGTCGCTTCGAGCCAGTCTACCCACATCGCTTCCGCCCAGTCTACCCAACGCAAAGTGGGAACATGCCAGCAGCTTCGGGAGTGGCATCAAGCTGGCCACGCCCACCCAGTCGGCCACGCCCCCTTGTCCCCCCGAGGTCAACCACTGCCCTGATGTGGCCCTCAATGAAATTTGACACCCCTGTTCTAACTAAATGGTGAAGAATGGAAAGACGACAGCAAGGAATAGAAATCCTTCCATCCTCCACCATTTATTTAGAACTGAAGAAGCTTCTCAGATGAGAAGCGAAACCTCTTCAAGAAAAAAGAAAGGCCGGCTGCCTTTTGACAAAGCACCTTTGGGACTGCCCAGGCTAATTCATCCACCTTACAGGATTCTTGCAACAAGGGACGAGATTCTTTCATTTAGCTCCCAGAGGTAAAAGTGGGAGAGAAATCTAAGACCGTAAATAAATACGGCTATCTGAATAAACATCCACTGTACTGGAATTGGCCAAGAGAATGTTAAACAGCTCAACAGATGGACCACAAATATTAACCAGTTTGGTCTAGTGGTTAAAGTCAGGGTCTACAAAGCAGGAGATGGTGAGTTCTAGTCCTGCCTTAGGCATGAAAGCCAGCTGGGTGACTTTGGTCTAGCTATCAGGAAGCAATGAATTTTAGGACCTTGTTTTGCAATGGTTATGTCAACTAAAAAAAATACCTTGGTCTTTTTAGCTGCCAGCAGAAAAGGAGTGGGGAAAGCAGTACATTCCTTAAATGCTTCAGATAATCGCCATGGCAGCCAAAGCTGTCGGCGCGCAAGATTATTACTGGAGAGCCTGATTGATGACTCTTGGCTATGGATGTGTCCCATTGGAGAATATACATCCAGGGGGTGGGGGGAAGACCAGGGTCAAGGGGGAAATGAATGATGTGTCTTAGTGTCAGCTGCAACCAGGGAACGCCGACATGGTCACTCCTAATAAATCATTTTTTTTTTACTCTGAGATGCGACTAGAGATTTATGATTTGAATGGGGGTGGATTGTTGGAGCCTTGACATGTTATGGTGAATCATCGCAATTGTTAAGTGAATCATGCAATTGTTAAGTGGGTTCAGCGTCCACCATTGACTTTGGTTGTTGGAAGCTGCCTGGGAAGGTTGCAAATAGTGACCACATCACCTGGGAACACCACAACCATTGCAAATACATGCTGGTTGTCAAGGGCCCAAATTTTGACTTCATGACCATGAAGGTGTTGCCACAGTCGTAAATCACATTTTATCAGAGCGGTTCTAACTCGGAACCGTCACTAAACAAGCGGCTGAGAGGCGAAGGCTGCCCGTCGCTTCCTACATCCTCGTATTGACCTTCCTGCACGTTTCCCCCTTCCTGTTCCTGAGGCAGCCTCAGTTTCCATCATCCCTCCCCCACCCCCCGTTTCTTCCTCCCAAACTTACCCACTGCGACCCGCCTGCCAAGTCACCCGTTCCGGTGGTTTCTTCCATTTTCTCTTCCACGGGAAGCTTAAAGTCACGCGAGGGAGCATCGCCTCCAGCGGCTGAAACATCCCTACGAGGCTTGGGCAATTTTCTTTCGACGGAAGAGGATCCGTCCAAATCCGAAGGCAGAAGACGTTCGGGGTCGGGGACTGGAAGCAGAGGCTTAAGGGGCGACTGGGCACCGTTTGCTGGAGGATCTCTGAAGAGCTGCGTCTGGTTTTCGGGTGATCCCCGAGAAGCTGCACAGAAACAAGATCAGCACAATTTAGTTGCGCACCAGTGACACCACTACAAGTCGTGCGTTTTCTGAGCCGTTCAACAGCGTGACACTAAACAAACATCGAGTAACAGACTTGGAACGGACCTCGGTCATCTAGTCCAACCCGCTGCTCGAGCAGGAGAGGCTAATATTCCAAATATTAGCCTCTTCCTAGGATCGAACTCACTGTAGCACTACATTTAGCACCAACAACCACAGGTTATCATCCTCGACTTAACCACTCTTCGTTTAGTGAATGTTCAAACTTAACAACAGACTGGAAAAAAATGACTTAGGACGGGTTTTCCACCCTTACAACTGTTGCAACGTCCTCACGGTCACTTGGCGACCTGGCATGTATTGAGGAATTAAAAGTTGTAAAATTGGACACAATTTCCTTAAGCCGCGCCTGGCATAGGAACTGAAATTCTGGTCT